CACTTTTTAAAGCGAGCTGGAGAAACAAGCCTTTTGTAATAGCACCGGCCCCGTGGGCAGAACCGCATCTTTATTAAGGTCACGCGTTGCAGTCTTCTCCTCGAACGTGTTCGGGTGTGTCCATTACTCGTGGTGAGCCAAGTGCGCAGGAGCCTGGTTCCGGGCGCCCCCAGGCCTGGCTTTGTCCACTGGACATCAAGACCATTTTCTTTCTTTCTTTCTTTCTTTCTTTCTTTCTTTCTTTCTTTCTTTCTTTCTTTCTTTCTTTCTTTCTTTCTTCCTTCCTTCCTTCCTTCCTTCCTTCCTTCCTTTCTTTCTCTTCCTTTCTTCCTTTCTTTCCAATTTGGATGCCTTTTCTTTCTTTCTGTTTCTTGTCTTTTTCATTCAAAAACCAATCTCTGTGAAATGTTTTATAGCCTTCCAGAATGTTCTGCGTGATTCTTGCGTCAGGGTGTGCCAGCCAGCTCCCCACTTTTTGCTTCCAGAATCCTCTGTGGGGTGGTGAGGGGAGCCACCGTGGCCCCTCTTGCTGGGAGTGAGAAAGCAGACACCTTCCCATGGGGCAGAAAGAGACCTTCACTCGCGTGTAGGCACACTAAACATTCCCGAGTAGCTGGAGAGGACACATACATCCAACATTCCCTTCTCAGACTGACTTTAACTCAAGTAAGTCAGAAGCAACTTAACCTTTGCATTTCTGTAACTTACTCATTAAAGGGCCTTTCATTATATGGCTCCGTTCCAGCATTCCTCAAGAGGCTTTCCAAACTTTGATAGGAACTGCCATCCTTGTGCTAAGCAGCCAGGGAAGCTGCTCCCATGGAAGGGGAGCGGCAGCGGGGCTGGCCTCCGTCTCTCCGGGGCAGACGTTCAGAGTCTCTCACACAGAGACGTGGTATGCCAAGTGGCTGGGGACCTGACGTCTGGTGTGGAAGCTCAGGGTTGGTCCCTGTGTCTTCCTCTTGTCTCTTCCAGTGGGAGGCTGGATCTTTTCCAATCCGGATGGAGTGTGCGCAGCAGGAAACACCAATTACCAGTATGCTACCCCCTTACCTCTGTCTGCTCCCCACTCCCACCATGGCTGTGAGCGCTATCCTGGCCTCCGAGGGCACCGGCAGGCTCCCTACCCTTCTGCCTACATGCATAGAAACCATTCTCCCTCAGGTGTGTGGTTTTGCTAATTAAGCCCTTGGGGGTGTGGGTGGGGGGTTGTGGGGGTGGCGATGTGGAGAAATGGTCAATAGCTAGTAGTAAAAAGAAGTGTCTGAAGATGGCATCCCTTTCATCTAATACATGTAATAGTATTATATATTATTATTTTAAGGTTTTGTTTTATATACTAATAGTTGATTATGTAATTATGACATTATTCGTGTCTTATAATTATTTCATAAGGCAGTCTCCTGGTTTCTATTGGGCATGTAGGGCCTCCACCCAGGGCGCCGGTGGACTCAGCTTTTCAAGCTGCATCTCTAAGAGCCAAGTTTTGGGGGCTCTGGGATCCTCAGCTCACTGCCTTCCCGTGGCTCTTTTCTACCACTCGTATTCCATGGCTCCATCGGGACACCCTAAGCTCTGTCCGCAGAGGGTCACCAGCTGCCTGTCTATGTCCCTTCACATGCTGCCCCCAGCAACCTTGGAAGCTGCTGCCAGGAAGGAATAAAATGGAGCTTAATGATACCAGAAAGTGGGCAACGTTCCCACTGCGTCCTGGTTCCTTCGTGTGGTCAGCACATAAAACACAGCTTCTGAGCCCCTGCTAGGTGCCAGGCCCTCTTCTAGATGGTGGGGATAGGAGGGTGAGGAAGGTACAGTTTCTCCTCTGAAGAAGCTCAGGGCTACACGAATACATAAATAACAAATCATAACACACTGTAGCCAGAGCTCTCCTGTGGGTCCTCAGACCTGTGGCATCACCTGGGAACTTGTTAGAAATGTAGACTCTTGGGTTCTCCTTCTGAAAGAGTCCACATTTTAACAAGATCCCTAGGTGATTCTCGTGCACATTAAAGTTCGAGAAACATTCCATGAAACACACAAGCCAAGGTGCTGTGGGAATGAAGGAAAAAGAGCAGCCTGAGCTGCCCAGGGGGGTTGACGCTTACGTTGAGATTTGCAGGATGAAGAGAAGGGGACAGAGGTGGGAGTGGGCGGGAGTGAAGGTGGATGGCAAGGGACCCAGGAGAGGCGAAGGGCACTCCAGGGAAGAGTGGTTTGAGCAAAGGCATAACGGGGAGAGGACCTGGGGTGTCTGGGGGACGGATTTGGAACAGAGGGTAGCGGGAGAGGTGGAAGACCAGAGGTGAGGCTGAAGAAGTTGCAGAGGCCAGCCAGGCGTATATACTGGAATCTTCTTCCTCGCTCTTCTCTTTCTCCCTCCTTCCTCTCTCTTATTATACACTATTTATGCAAATGGAGATTCAAAGACATAGAAGACACTATTCTTTTTTTTTTTTTTTAAAGATTTTATTTATTTATTTGACAGAGAAAGACACAGCGAAAGAGGGAACACAAGCAGAGGGAGTGGGACAGGGAGAAGCAGGCTTCCTGCGGAGCAGGGAGCCTGATGCGGGGCTCGATCCCAGGATCCTGGGATCATGACCTGAGCTGAAGGCAGACGCTTGACGACTGAGCCACTCAGGCGCCCCAGAAGACACTATTCTTTTTTTTTTATTCTTATGTTAATCCCCATACATTACATCATTAGTTCTACATGAAGTGTTCCATGATTCATTGTTCGTGCACAACACCCAGTGCTCCATGCAGAATGTGCCCTCCTCAATACCCACCACCAGGCTAACCCATCCTCCCACCACCCTCCCCTCTAGAACCCTCAGTTTGTTTTTCAGAGTCCATCGTCTCTCATGGTTCATCCACCCCTCCGAATTCCCCCGCTTCATTCCTCCCCTCCCGCTACCTTCTTCTTCTTCTTTTTTTTTTCTTAACATATCTTGCATTATTTGTCTCAGAGGTACAGATCTGAGATTCAACAGTCCTGCACAATTCACAGAGCTTAACAGAGCACATACCCTCCCCAGTCAGAAGACACTATTCTTGAGATGTTTCCATTTACTTGGGGTTGCTGGGAAGAATAAGGTGCCGCTCCTCAGAAATCTCATCGGGGGCACTGGCGGGCCCTTGGGGTTGTGTTCAGGGTGTGCTGACACAGTCCGTTCTTACAGGGGAGTGAGTGTGGTACTGTGAGTCAGACAGATCTGCATCATAAAGGGCAGATCGTCCCACCTCTCCGAGCCTCATCTATAAAGTGGAGAGGACAGGTCGTTGTTGTGAAGATCAAAATATGAACGGCATGTGGCATATGGTTGACATTCAGTATATCTGAGAGCCTCCGTCTTTTCTGTTTCCCTCAGAAAGTACTAACAAACCGTGGGTACAAGTTGCCGTAAAATGGTATCATTGGCCACCGTCTTTGTATGTTCTACGTGCTTCATCAACTGAACTGTTGTTATTTCCCCAAAGTGAATTTGATAGAAAGCTCCAGCAATAACCTGCAAGTTTTCTCCGGAGCTGACAGCTGGACTTCCTTGTCCTCCACACCGCACACCAGCATCCTGTCCGTACCACACACCAGCGGGCCAATCAATCCAGGGCCCAGGTAAGACCAACACCAGCAACTTGCTCATTGGTGGTCTTGGGGGTTGACGTGAGCACTGGAGACTCAAGCTCATTCTTTTCGCTAGGGTGGCTTGGGTTAAGCCATTGTCCTGACTTCTAAGCCACTAGGAAGTGAGGGTAACAACAGGATGGACTTTTCTTTCTTTTCTTTTTTTTTTTTTTTAAAGATTTTATTTATTTATTTATTTGACAGAGAGAGAGTGAGAGAGCACAAGCGGGGGTGGGGTGGGGGGGAACAGCAGAGGAAGAGGGAGAAGCAGGCTTCCCGCTGAGCAGGGAGCCCGATGTGGGGCTCTATCCCAGGACCCTGGGATCATGACCTGAGCCGAAGGCAGACGCTTAACGACTGAGCCACCCAGGCGCCCAGGATGGACTTTTCTCTCCCAGAGAACAGGGAGGGGAAAGCACTTGCTCAGCTGTATGCTCTTTCTTCTGTAGCTTTGGTATTCTATTTTTAAAAGGGAAAAGACATTATGGCCTGCAATCATTTGTCCTGAACCAGTCAGAAATATTGTAAACTGTGATGGTAGCAGACAGATACTGACTGTAGGAGGATTGAAGGAATAAGTGTAAATAGACATTGAGAATTCAAGATGCTGGGTTGTCTGTGTTCTCATAAGCCACCTGTCCTAACAGGGGGACAGACTGTGGGTGCCTGGCCCACAACCCAGGTAATAAGCAGAGTGTAGCATGTAGGACCCATGGCATAACGTGCACACCAGAGACCTGAGTTTCGTTCTGACTTCTGGAAAAGAGTGTGGGGGAGAGGACAGGGAGGGACCTTGGAGTTTGATGGACTGGGCTTTAGTCCCGGTTCTATCTCTTACTGACTTTGTGCCTTCATGCAGTTTTCTTGGCCTCACTGAGCTCCAGCTTTCTAATCGCAAAAATGGAAATAATAGAAGCTACTCCGTAGGTTGTGGTGAGCCCAGAAGGAGAAAATACATTAAAATGCTTTGTGAGCAGTAACGTTCTATATAAATGTCAGCTGTTAAGTTCAACATAGGTATGCAGAATTTTGAGAAGGTCCAAAAAGGGATTCAAAATTAAAAGCTGGGTCTTGGGAGATGTCCGATGATATGTGATCTGCCCGTCTAGAAAACGTTAGGAGATCATAGCGTTTTGGGCTACAGTGGGCCTGCTCACACTTACACGTGTGTTAGAATCACCTGGGATATTGTTAAAATGCACAATCTGATGAACAGGTCTGGGTTGGAGCCTGCGATTCTGCCTTTTAACAAGCTTGTGGGTGTTGCTGTATGCTTGACCTTGGTGGTTTTGATACTGATGCTGCTGTGGCGGTCAGGGTCTCGCGCCGTGCTGCCCCACACAGCCTCCACCGGCCGCTGGTGGCCACTGAGCCCTCGAAATGCCGCGGGTCCCAGTGGCGGTGTGCTGGGAGTGAGGCGCACACACAAGCTTGGAGATGTAGCAGGAAACAAAGAATAAAAATCTCAACTTTTTTTTTTTTTTACCTCAAATGCGTGTTGAAATGATGATATTTTAAATATTTTTGGTTCCATAAAATATAATTAGCCTTAAGTCTCGTTTTTCTTTTTCCTTTTTTCTTTCTTTTTCTTTCTTTCTTTCTTTCTTCCTTCCTTCCTTTCTTTCTTTCTTTCTTTCTTTCTTTCTTTCTTTCTTTCTTTCTTTCTTTCTCTTTCTTTCTTTCTTTCCTTTCTTTCATGTGGCTACTAGAAAATTCAGCCTTGCTGTTGTGGCTCACATTTTATATCTATTGGACAGTGCTTGACTGGATTATCTAAGGGAAAAGCGTGGATTTGGGTTGTGGTAGGAAGGGAGACAGTGAGTCCTTGAAGATATTAAATAATCGTGTGGTAGGTTCTGTCCTAGATACTTTATGCAAGTAATTTATAGTATCAAAGACATCCACAAGGTTGGCGTTAAAATTCCTATTTTACTGTTGGAGAGACTAAAGCTCAGAAGCATTAAAAACGTCCTGAAGGTCACGCAGTAAGAGGTATAACTGAGTGCATGGTTTTCCCACCGGCCCGGGAGGCATCAGGAAGGGGTCCTGCCCTGAGCGATGTTGTGGAAGTGTCTCTTCTGGAGATCAGGCCCCAAATCTCGGCAAGCCAAGCTGGTTAACACCCAAACACACAACAAGCAAACACTCAGAGCCTGGCCTTCCGTGGGTTTCCTCTGGCCCAGTGAGGTCTGTAGTCTCTGGACTAGGGCACAGAGTGCAGGTGGCATTTCTCCCTCTCGTTCCCTCAGTAGCATGTTTAACCCACTACTGACTCCATAAAGATTCTGCTAGAGAATAGCCCAGGACCGTCACCGCGTAATGAGCCTATTCGCACGCAGTGCAGTATGAGAAGATGCAGAAACTCTAAAATGTCAGGACCTAGGGATGACCGAAGGCTTAGAGCATGGGTGTTTATCCCACCTGTTCCAAGAGCAGGCATCTTCGTTTGTGTTCGGGTGCAAATATTGCTGCCCATTATGATCCACCGGAAAGCTTTTAAAAATCCTGATCCCCGGGGCTGCATGCCAGACTGGTTGAGTCAGGATCCGTGGCAGCAGGACCCAGGCATCAGTATTATTTTGGAACTTGCTCAGGGGTTCCAATGTGCAGCCAGGTCTGTGAACCAGGGCTTTAGAATAAGAGAAGTCCCACAAGGAGGTCTCGCTCCCCAGCCTTTCTGCCAGGGACCAGAGCTGTTGGGTGGAGACCAGGAATGGAAGAGTTCATTATAACCACCACCCTTTGGTGAGTGCCGTGTGCTAGACACCATCTGCTCATCTTCTTCAATCGTCACAACAACATCTGTAACGTGTGCATAATTATCACTCCGAGTCTTGAAGATGAGGAAGCTGAGACTCAGATGTGAATTGGACCAAGGTCACGGAGGAGTAAGTGGTGGAGCTGGGATGCAAACCCGCTTTTCCCGACACCTGTGTGTCCCGGCTGCTGCACCACGTCAGTTCTCTTGCCAGTGAGTGGTCCTCCCTGCAGGCCTTGCCGTCCAGATCCCCCCCTGTTGCTCTCCTGCGCATCCACGCGGCCGCAGGGCAGGCCTCCAGAAATGAAATGCTGTGTTCAAAATCAAACTTGCCAGTGGCAGGGCCAAGCATGGAAATTCAGGTCAGGACGCCTAATTATATGCTTATTGCACTGCATTTCCCTGCTCGCCTCAGCTTCCCCACAGGCAAGGGCTATTCTGTGTCAGAGCTAGAAAGAAAGCTGTGGCTGGGCACCCTCTTCCTGGACCTGGGCCCCCTCGTACCGGGCAGCTGGCCGGCCTTTCTGGAAGCATCCTCAAGCATTCTGTGTCTCTGTCTCTGCAGCCCCTACCCATGCCTGTGGACCATCAGCAACAGTGGCGGGGGCCCGGCCGGGCCCGGCCCCGACGTGCACACCAGCTCCCCGGGAGCATTTCTTCTGGGGAGTCCAGCTGTGACTTCGCCCCTCTCTGCCCAGGCATCCACTTCGGCGGGTGTGGAGGTTCTGGGGGAGCCCTCGCTGACCAGCATCGCTGTGTCCACCTGGACAGCAGTGGCCTCACATCCCTTCTCGGGCTGGGGTGGCCCAGGTGGGGGAGGGCGCCATTCTCCCTCCTCCCTGGATAGCTAGGCAGGATCCTAGGGAAGGTGTCAGCGGAAAACCTTGTCTGTATAGAGCATTTAGAAACCCCGTCTACTGATTCTAGGGAGTTAGACTGCAGGGTCTCCCCACCCAGTGAGCTAGAGGGTGGGGTGGGTAACGGGAGGTGGTTTAGTTTGGTGATGCTCCCTGGTTTCTTTTCGCACTCCCATTTTCTCTGCAGCTCATCCATGACATGCTTAGGTCACCAGGGTTCAAGGAGTACCTTCCTTGGCCCTGCCCCTTACTTTCAAATGATTCTAGAAGGCCCCGCTTCCTGTTCTGTGGAGGTGATGCAAAGCTGTTAAGTGAGCTCCGAATTTACCTGGACTAAGGCTTCCTAGCCTTGTGCAGCCCTGGAAAGTATCTGTGGCCCCAGGGCTTCTGCTTTGAGACCAAGAGAGGGTGTAAGTCCCCAGAGTGAAGTTATCAACAGTAGCCCTAATCATGTATTATAGCCATGTACCTGGAATTGAGGAAATGAGGTCATGTCCTCCCTTGCTCAGAAACCTTCCATGGCTCACCATTGCCTACAGAACGAAGTCAGACATCCTGACCATAAGGACACCCCCTACCATCTAGCCTCAAACCACGTTTCCAGCTTCAGTTCCCTTCATCATCCCATTAGCAGCCTATGTTTCGGTCAAGGCAGACATTCAGCATACTTCCCCCCCTCTACGCCTTCCCTGGGCCTGAAACATCCTTCTCTGGTCAGTCCCACCTGTGTGAATCCTGCCCGTCCCCAGGGGACTGGCCGAAGCGCCACTGCCTGCATCCAACACCTGACGGGCCTCAGCACGTGGGACCTTGCCCGGCTGCCTGCCGTCCCGGGGGCTTTGCCTCTGTGCGAGAGCTCGTCCCATTCTGCCTTGTATTTTTGTTTACCTGTGAGTGTGTCTCTCTCCCACTAGACTGTGAGCCCCTTGAGGGTGAGGACTAGCCTTGCTGTCTTTGTACCCTGCAGCACCTGGTACTGTGCCTTGTCTATAGTAGGTGCCCAATAAACTGACCGAGTGCAATTGGTGTGTAGAGCACGTGTGCTAAAAATGAGAGCCGTGGGGCCCCCTGTGAGGCAGAGCTGGAGACACGTATCCGGGACACACTAGTATGTCAGTGTTGGGAGCCCAGAACATGCTGGGTGCTCCCCCCGGGCTCCCTGTCTGAGCCATAGCCCATCTGCAGCGATTGATGCCATGGAAACAGTGTGGGCTGGAGCGGTTACTTCCAAATATTGGTCCTTGGATCCCCTGTGCCAGGATGACCAGGAGCACCTGTTAGAAACACAGATTCCCGGGTACACTCCATCCCTACCGGATCAGAATCTTTAGGGCTGGAGCCCAGGAATCTGCATGTCAACAAGTGCTCCAGACAACAGTCGCAGAGCCAAGTTTGGAACCGACTTGCCTAGAATAGAGAAATAGAGTGATAAATCTTGCAGGAACCTCATTTCAGGTAAGAGTTTCGACCTCCGCCCTGGCCAAGGTTGTTGCTACAGCAAGAATGGAGCCAGTGAGCAAAGTCGCTGGTCCTTGGTTTGCCTTTTTCCTTTTCTACCACTGCGGGATGTGCTGCTAACTACGGGAGTGAGGTTTCCAGACCGGTGTGATGCATTGCTCTCCCAGACCGTTATCAATCACCCTGCGCCGACGGAGTGCTCACGTGGGGCGTCCCTGAGGCAGTGGAAGAAGGTTCTGCTCAGACCCTGCTCCCACCTCTGTTCCATCAGCTGAGCCCACGCAAGCCCACCACACGCCAAGCCTTAGTCTGGGGTGTCCAGACATGACGCTATTGAGTGCTTGGCTCTTTCCACAGGGAACGGGCCTTCACCACTCTGTGGTTAGCACTGCCCGATCTTTCCGTGCCATTCCATTTTTGGACTCGGCTCTCTGGAAACAATGCCCCTCCAGCCACATGGTGTCCCGGGAAGCCACTTTATGCTCTCAGGGCAGCCTGCCCAGTGCTCCAGGTCCTTAATGGATGTATGAGTGACTGAGGCCCCAAGTACCAACACGGCTGCTCTTTGAAAAGCTGCCTGCTCAGCACGTCCCTGAGGCAGGAGTGTTTTTGGTCCCCTAGTTCCCCTGTGACAGTGTAAGAGGCCATTAAGATGTTAATATATTAGCATCTCTGCAAGATGCTATTTTGGTAAGTTTTAAAAAGTGGCCGTTTCTCATTCTGTTAGAAGTTTGGGCTACGGCAGCCTCCAGCTGCCCAGCAGGCCTGGCCCAGGCTCTGCCCTGGTCACCAAAGCCGTCGGTCATGCAGCCGGAGCTCAGCAAGCACAATTAGGTCCATGAACCCGTCTCTGGTCTTGCCCTTTCTGCCCCCCTTCCCCCAGCCTGGAGCGGACGGGAAACTTGGCCCAGGTCAGAGAGCAGAAAGAAGCTGATAACCTTCTTCTTTTCTCATCCATCTTGCTCGGGGGATTGGGTGCTCTGTACAGCGACAGCATAAACGTTAGCTGAGTTTTGGGTGATTGTGTCTCATCAACCTGGACCCTGCCATGACTTTTGAACAGGTGACACGATGCCTGGCTCTGCATCGAGGGTCTCCATTTGCGTGGTGTCAGCCATGCAACCAGAGCGATATGCTTTCTGGAGGTTTCTCCAGATAGTCTAATTTCTGATTGGGAGAACAACCCTTGGTTGCTTAAGTCATTTTAATGCATGGCAGAGTCTCTGATGTACCAGACAAACTTTAGAGCCTTTAATACCCCTTCCTTGCCCAGGCGCCCTCTTCACCCAGCTCATTATAAAACAACAGTGATGGCACTTCAGAGATTTAGGCCTGTCACACTGAATTTAAGAGAAACCTAAATCCCACTGGAATAGGGGCGCCCGGGTGGCTCAGTCAGTTGAGGGTCTGACTCTTGGTTTCTGCTCAGGTTGTGATCTCAGGGTCGTGAGACTGAGCCCCACGTCGGGCCCTAAGCTCAGCGAAGAGTCTGCTGCAGATTCTCTCCCTCTCCCCCTGCCCCTTCCCCCTGCATTCTCTCTCTCTCTCAAATAAATACATAAATCTTAAAAAAAATCCCATTGGAATAAAGAGTTAATACAATTCTTTTAGCAAAGCCTGGTCTGTGGAGGTGTCTCCCCTTGTGGGGCCTTGGTTTGGTCTGCGTGACCTCACCAGCCCTCGCTGCTCCAGGTGAGTCAGAGCCTTGTCACCAAACACCTCAGCCCACCGTACCTAGGCCAGGTGCTTCCAGGTGCTTCCTGACACTCAGTGGGCACCTCCTAGGGCTGGGAAGAAGGACGTAATAGGAGGAGAGTGAAAAAACTATGGTTAAGGTTAATTAATTGAATTTAAATAAAAAAAGAACAGAATGGATAAATAAACATGGTATAATTTATATAATGCAATATTATACGTAATAATGATTGATCACTTGCTACACAAAAGAGAATGGAGGAAGTTTAAAAACATAATATTATAAACAATATCGCAAATGTAGTATCACAAACATAAGAGACAAGATACAAAAATTACATACTGTTTGATTTAAATTTCATAAATTTTTAAAACTTACATACCATTCTATAATATTAGAAAACAGAGTAATGGTTATCTTTGGAACTGAGTAGAGACAGGAAGGTGAATAAAAAGGGATTCTCTTGTGATTCCTCTTCAGTTACATTTCTTGACCTATATATTGGTTTTACATGTATGTTCAGTTTGTGAAAACTTATTTATCTGCACAGTAAGATTTGTAAACTTTTTTCTATATATTGAACACCAATAAAAAGTTAAAATATAAAGCAACCATTAACAACTGGGAAAATATTTGCCTTTCCTAATATAGTGGGTATTTTCCTTAATATATAAAGTGTATCTATGAATATGTAAGAAAAAACCCACCATCATCATCTTTTTGTTATCACCAATGACATGAGCAGAGTTCATAAAGAAGGAAATAAAAATGTCACATAAATACTGGAAAGAAAAAACCCTCAATAAAAGATATTTGAAGCCTAGTAGGTATTTGCCACTTTCCCCCAAGACTGGAATAGATTTGGATGAATATCAGCAAGTTAAAATATCACAATTTTGGAGAATATGAATTCGGTTTTATAAACTGCATGTCAAAGTTGGAGAAGAGCAACTGAAGCATTCCACTGATAACTTGTTTCAACCTCTCCCTTTTATTTTCTTTACCCTTTCCCACCTCACTGAACCCCTTGGTGGCTCCTGGACAGATTGATAGAGCGAACACGGGCCTCCTGGAACAGAGGTCTGGGTGGGGATACATGGTGCCGAAAAAAGCCTAAGGGAAGAGTTTCTGTTGTCTGGAGATAGCAGATCTTTTCTATCCTTGTTATAGAGACATCTGTGTCTGCCCAGCACCCCAAACTTCTGGGACAAGAATCCCACACCCCCCTTCCCACACTCATGGGGGAACTGTCTGCCTTCCTCCCACCCTGTAGGTCTTTAGTGGGGGGCCACCATGCTCACATTCCATCCTGCTGTGTTGGTTGGTTTGGGGGTTTCTGACACTCACTACGGGTGTCCCATTAACTACAGGAAGAACAAGCAGCCGAACATGTCAAACACACAGAAGGCTCATTAAGTCCAAGTTTCACTATGTTACAGGCTATGTTAGGCCTGTGGAAATGCACCAAAAATACCTTCAAAATGGAGGAAATGGAGCTGAAACTTGACATTTATTGTGAACAAAATGGAATTGGAAACACCTATTAAGGCAAATGGTTAAAAGCTGTGGCAAGTAGACAGCTTTGTTAGCACACGTGACTAGTCCAGCCTAGAAAAGGGACTGAGATGATCCCTTTAGGTAAAGATTTTCCCATTGGAGGATCCAACATACTGGCTAGATTCCGTGCTAAGCACAAGTCACGGTCTAGTTGGACAAACATCTCTCTCTGATTGACTCGTGGAGACTATCCCCATGCTTGGCTGGGTCCTAGTGGGGACACGCTCATTGTCCCACTGCTCAGCTTGTCTGCCTGGTAATACCACACACATCTTGGTTCTTAGGCTGCTGTTAGGGTCTTGGATCATGAGTACCAAAGTATACAGAAGGGGCTGCAAGGGAAACCCCTGTTCCCATTAGCAGAAGCGAACCCAGATCCTCGTCGGTTGGCAATGGAGGGAGAATGTTCTGTGAGGCGGGGCAGTTAGATTTTGCAGCTTTTAGATTCCCGATGAATCTTTCAAATCACCACAGCCTCTGTTGCACTGGGCTCTGGGGCTGGCTCCGGTGTGGACACGTGACCATTCCGCAGTGATACTCAAACCAAGCTGTAACGTCTTTTTTTCTGAAGGCTCAGTGCTTATAGAGGGAAACGAAACATGACAGGTTACATACATCTAGAAAACTTGGTAGAATTCAATCACCTTCCATTTATTGGAGTCTATTTTAAAGATTTTTTATTTGTATTGAGATGTAACATTCAGTAAGTAAACAAATATTAAGTGTATGGCTTGATGAATGTTTACAGATGTATCTACTTATAAAACCCCCAACAAGATCAAGATAGAGAACATTTCCAGCATCCCAGAAGGCTCACCCCCAAGATAAACACTCTTGTGACCACTTTCAGTGTGTATATTAGTTTAACCTGTTCTTGACCTTCATCTAAGTGGAATGCAAAGGGAGGGACCCTTTTGAGTCTGAACACTGTGTCTTTAGTGCCCTGTCTAGCTCCCACCTAACCCTCCATCCTGGAAGATTATCTTTTCATTCATTAGTTGAAATACCCTCAGTAGATAATTAAATTCTTTGATATCCAAACCAAGACATGCCCAGAAGAAAGCAAGCATTTTTCTTCTGTGGCTTCCCACCTTCTCTCTGGATCACTAGCAGAGAGAGTGTCTATCTTCTTTTCGAAGATGCTTACTCTCTCCGTCCCCCAGAATCACAACCACATCCCAACGCAGCATAGTAAATTCAACCCTTGCACATTTCTGGTTGTTGCAAGATTGTTTTGTTACAAGGGTTTTAGAATGCATTTTTGTAGTCCATTCTCTTTTCAGATGAGAAAACATTGGTTTAGCATCGCCC